TATATATATATTGATACATTTGCTACAGGTTTTTAAGAATACATCAACCATTCCAACTTGGCCAAGTAAGACCTTGAACCTTGTGCGTACATAATAATAAATAATATGCAGCTGCGAGAGCCCTGAAACTCCTATAAAACTAAAACTACTTTAATGCTTAAACAACACGAGTTTTTAAAAAAATTAGATATGGAAGCATAAACTTCTATATACGACTTAAAGAATATTGTTTAATTTTATTAATGGATGGATTGCTCTAAAAAAAAGATTCTGTTGCGAAATTGTGAACAAAAACTCAACTCTGATAGCCTGATTTTTCTCCGTTTTTCTGATAGGTCAAAATCAATAATAAAACTCTGACGTAAAGCCAAAAGGGTATCGTGAGAGGTCAGAAGAGGGGATGGCAAATGATAACTAGGGTAAGGACGCGATAAAATTCCTACGGATGGAAAGACAGACGAAAAAAGAAATGAAAATCAATTCAGCGAAAAAACTTTCTACTTTTAGACTTTTCAGGAACGCACACAAAAAGGAAGTTAATGTGTGACGACAGAGCTGAGAGTGCACGCTGATTATTGATGATAACCTAGTTGTTTCATAATTTGTTGAAGATAAGGTTTCTGAAACATTGTATGCAACTTTGATGAAGACGGGCTCTCAAACTGTCCAAAAATGGCAGGATTATGTTGAGTAAACATATTGGAAGGTGGGGGAATTCCACCCCCCCCCCACTTACAGCCCTTAGAACCAACATAAATCTGTTTGAAATTCAGCTGTAATCATTAATTGCTTCTGTCTGCCACGTTTTATTTTTCAATTCCGTTTTAATTTCTTGTATGTCTGTCCTTTTATTTTCATTTTAGCATTTGTGCTCATGCGGGTATGAGATTGCCCAGCAATATTACATTTTTGATTTTAAGTTGAAAAATGGAAGTATGGGGATGGTGATATCGTAGAATTCATATTATGTTTTGTTTCCTAACTCATCAAACCCAAAGTAAAACAAAATGGAGGATGTGTCCTCTTTCTACATAAAGTAGCTTCTATAACACTTGTCTCACAATCCAGTTGAAAAGTATGGTGAAGAGTTCCCCCACCTTCCATACCACGATGCACACTTGAAAACGAGTTGGTTCGGCGCTTCGCTGTCAGACGCAGGAGACCCAACTTTGATTCTCTAATAGGGACAATTTTTTTCCATCGAGTATCTCGGTCTTTCTCCTTGGATGAAGTATCCCTCTCAGTCCGAGTTGGTTCTGGCAGACAGGATCGGAAGCCCGCCTTCTAAAGGATCTAAATTGCTACTTCCAGGTTGCCTTGATTGTCGAAGCAGACTTTGTGCTGTTGAGGCAAGAGAGGTGAGCAGAGTAAGCCTGACTCCCCGTTTGGACTGCTCTGTTGACACCCACCCCTTGGCGCTCATATGATCTTATGCAGTTGCAAGCGCTGTAAAACCTTACTAAAACATGTTTTGGACGAACGTAGCCTCACCTGAAATCCAGCACGATCCTATAGAGAAGGTTAGCGCCGAGGAAGCTGGTGAGGATACTGGAGATGGCGAGGGAGGTAACAAGCACAGAGCCTGTCTGGAACACCATGAAGAGGAAGATGAAGAGGAAGGACCCCCCGGCCAGCAGCATGTCGAGGACCACTTGCTTGAGGGCGTCGTACATAAACAGCTGGGGACACATCAAGTTGTTGAGTGTGTTGTAGTGAGAGTTTTACGGCACTTGCAAGACAAAGTTTAATTAGACACAAGTTATAGTTTTCGTTTTAGGGAAGGGTTTACGGCACTAACAACACAAATGCCAGACACAGGTTGCAGAGTTTGTTTTACTGATGGTATTGCGGCATTTGCAACACATATTGGTTATACACGCTTTAGTTTAGTTTTAGTTTTAGTAAGAGTTTTACGACATTTGCAACGCAAACGGCAGACACAAGTTATTGGTTTTTTTGGAGTTTTACAGCATTTGCAAAATACACGTGCGACACACGTTCTTGAGACCTTTTAGTTTAGAATTTATGGCAGTTGCAACAAAAACGTCGGACACAAGCTATAAACTTTGCTTTAATGAGCGTTTTACGGCACTTGAGACACAATCAGATCATATAAGTGCCAAATATTAGAGGTATTTCAATAAAGCATCATACAAAATAAAGAAGGAGAGAAAAAATAAGGAGCAAACCACACCAGAGCACAATTCATCCACCCATAAAAGATAGAGTAGAATGACAGTCGAAAATCCCAGGAATTTGACGAAAAAGATGACGGACTTATTTTTAAAAAAATCAGTTTATCCATAATTTGTAAGATTAGTGAAAAATTGCAGTTTTGATGAAAACGGAATCTGGAAGTATCAAGAAAAAACAAAAAACAAAAACCAAAACCAGAAACCGGGGATTCATGTTGGGAAATAAACATATAATACAGAAATAAGTAAACTATCGTGAGTGGTTGGTGGGTGCTCTGGTGTGGTTTGCTCCTTCTTTCCTATCAAACATCTTTCATCCTGATCTCTCCTCCTTTTTATATTTGTTAGTCTCTTGTAAAACCTCTTTTATGACCTTATAGTGTTGCAAGTGCCGTAAAACTCTCACTAAAATTACAGAAAACGATCTCTTGAGCTGGGATTTGTTCCAAGAGAGGCAAAAAGTATAGTTCTCCACCACGTCTCATGTATTATATCCCTCCCCTCCCCCCGTCCCCCATTATATCCCTCCCCTCCCCCC